CACATCTTCTAATCGTATTGCTGGGAATTAAAACCTAATCTCTGACCCCGTAGGATGTTAAGAACCCGACTGTGACCTGCTTGTGCCTGGAAGGCGAGGACTCCAGAATGTAAGAATGAAAAAGAGAAATAAGAAAAAATTAAAGAAAAAGGGGGCCACACAGCGGATTCCATCTTATGTTGTACTCCTTATTCGTGGTGCGTTTAACAGCCTTGTGACCTTTTTCCCGAATGTTGATCAGCTGTAACGACTGCAGACGGAGTGAATTCCCTGATAAATGAAAATTTTTGCCTCATGGCTTTCAAAGGGAAAATTAGTTCCTGAGTGGTGATAATGGGACCTTCTCATCTGTCCGGTGAGAATTCCATAGCAGCAGAATATAATGTTGGTAACCGGGACTATGGCGATGATCTCCGCTAGGGTACTTCAGAAATTTTTTGTTTTTTTGGGCATAGCCGGCAGGCCAAGGACGGCAATCCCATAGCTAGGTGAACTACATATAAAATTTAAAAATTTTTGTTTGGCTTAACCGTCTGACCAAGGTCTGGCAAACACGCACAAGGACAATTCATGCGGCGAAAGAGGCTGCATAGAAAATTCCGGGCTTAACCGGCAGACAATAGTCTAAATATCAAGCGATAATGGGACCTTCTCATCTGTCCAGTGCGAAGGAGGCGCTGGGAATGTCTGGCATTCTGGCAACAAGAATGTCTGTATAGAATTTCCGGGCTTAACCGGCAGACAAAATGTCTGGCTCTCCAACATGTGGCTTGCCTCAAAAAAAAAAATTTTTGATGGGCACTACCTGCCGACCGAAGTTCGGCGACCCAGCCACAGTGTAGGCTGCATAAAATTATTTGACCTAACCGGCAGACGATATGACTAGCAATCCACAGCTAGGAGCCACATAAAAGGATCCGGGCTTAACCGGCGGACAAAATTCCGGCAAAATAGCATCGATGATACTGAATAAATATAAAATTCCCGGGCTTAACCGGCAGACTATAAATCTGGCAAGCTAGCGGCTAGGGCAAGGCTGTATAAGAATTCCGTATTAATCGTCGTACAATAGTGCTGGGGCAGCCTAGAATGCCCTGCCTAGGCATGACCTAGCTGGAACGTCTACAGGCCGCGTGGGGAACAGCGCTGGGCACACGCCGACACTTGGGAGGAACCTAGCTTTACATTTAGAACATAAGATATCACTTTACCTTGGTGAAAGTTGAGTACTGTAGACCGACACTAGGTTTTCAGCATGTGAGGTTGAAGGGCCCCCGGAGTTAAACTCAACCAGGGTGGGGGCTGCGATCGAGGTAGCAATCGTAGGTTCCATAGCTTCTAGAAGTCCCAAGAACACAAGAGTCCTATGTTATTCCTTTTTCTTGCCAAGCGAAGCGTGTTTGTGGCGAGAATTTTTTTTTTTTTTTTTCCTTTGACTTGTGTAGCGGAGCGAGGCTGGAGCAAGAGAGAACACATGTCCCCTCCTCTCTTATATAGTCCCCCCGCGGCGCTCCGCACGCTGCGCTGCGGATCGCGCTGTGCAATTGTCTTCTCCTCCATCAGAAATTCCTCCGCATTCCTACGTAATGCAGCGGTTATTAACTTTACCACACTACCTTACGTTAAAAGCCTTGGTCCACATAGACAGGATACAAGGTTTTACACTGAACACAAGCTAGGGTAAAGCTCTACTATTGAATAACTTGAAGTTAGAGTCAGCTTAGGGTAGGGGACCACGTGGTTCCAATGGGACCCCCTTTAGAATAACTAGTAATATAAACTCTAAAAACACCTACTACACACAAAATAGACTACTCTACACATAGAACATAAGTATGCAAGATATTGAATAATGTACTTATCTTGAACAAGACACAGAAATAAGGAAACGAAGAGGAAGGGTAAGAGGTTCCTGTCCACACCACGCCAGCTCAGAAAAAGATGGAGTCTCTCCCCTTCATCCCCCAGCTGGCTGCTGCCGGCAGACTGCTCAACTAATCGTACCGCAGCCCTATACCAAGTTTACTCAGGTTTACCTTACCAATGATTAGAAAGTATTAGTAAGCCTAGTTGGTGCCTATGTTATTATTTAATAATCAACCCCCAGCTCAGTCTTTAAATGCTCTTTGAGAAACAAGAATAGTCTTACGTCTGGCAGGGAAGATACAAACAATGACGCATCGAGTTGCGATTTCCTACTCTAACGTAGCTTATTTAGTTAAATTTTGACCTCTGGTTTCCATTGAAGAACCCAGGGTCGTAACACAACACACAAGAAGTCAACACCAGCAATCAACAGCCAATTAATGCACAACTATATTCTACCCACTTCAAGACTCCGCACCAATATAGAAGCATCAAGAAATATGGACCAATAGGCCCTCTGCAGTTACTTCCATTCTTCCCTTTAATTTACCCAATTTATACCCATTGTTTCGTGTTCTGTCTTGTGTTGAAAGTTTTTGTTCACCTCATCCAAAACTGTTGTAACATCACCTCACCCAAAATGCGGGTATAAAATGAAAGCTGTTTAAAATCATAGCATAGTAGAACTCCGTGGTGTAGTGGTAAGACACTCGCCTGGCGTTCCGCGAGCGCTATGTCATGGGTTCGTATCCTGGCCGGGGAGGATTTACTGGGCGCAATTCCTTAACTGTAGCCTCTGTTTAACGCAACAGTAAAATGTGTACTTGGATGAAAAAACGATTCTTCGCGGCAGGGGATCGTATTCCAGGGACCATAGGATTAAGGACTTGCCCGAAACGCTACGCGTACTAGTGGCTGTACAAGAATGTAACAACTCTTGTATATTTCTCAAAAAAAAAAAAAAAAAAAAAAAACTGTTTAGTGTTATAGTTGTGTGTGTGTAAACTAAAGTCTTTGGAAATGTAATAAGTTATTACGAAACACGTTCAAGTGTTGCGTCAGACTAGAAATAAAAATGAATTTTGGAGAATTGATTTTTCAATTACCATCAACAGTGAAAAGAAACATAAGAAATATTGAGAAAATTTATGTTAGAATTATTAATCTTTTTCGGTCATATCTAATAATATATGTCTAAGGAAAGACTGCTACCAAAATATACTAATATATATATATATATATATATATATATATATATATATATATATATATATATATATATATATATATATATATATATATATATATATATATATATATATATATATATATATAATATATGTGTGTGTATATGCTGGAGGGGAGGGGGTCCTCTCTGGGAGGGGTTTCTGGTGTTTTTTTCGGTAGGGGGGGGGGGGGTTGCGCCGACTTCTGGCCAGTGTTGCCAGATTGGGCTACAAGTAGCGAATTGGGCTCCGTTTGAACGCTCCTGCACTCCTAAATGTTTAATCTCGCTATTTGCGACTTTTTGGGCTAATTTGAAAATAAATTGGTTAGTTTGTGCTAGTAATGTTAAGATAGTCAATGACTTATTATTTATGCATTCATAATGTAATGTGTGTAAATCACAGAAGTGTCCAACTGCCTTTTTGACCAGACCACAAAGTAGGCCTGGTCAGAGACCGGGCCCTGGGGACGTTGAACCTCGGAACCTGGGAAAAAACGCAAGGTACGGTAGGGTTATCCAACCCTAATTGCCATTAATGTTTCATCCCGGGTGATGTCTATGCAAGCAATCCATCCTCATGAAATGATAGTACTTAACTATTTGGTTGAAATTACCAATATGTAGTGATGGACCACCAGTAAGCCACTTAAAGATGAGTTTAAGTAGTGTACCACATCAAATTGTTTGGATGTGTGGTAATGGTATGATAGACAGAATACTTAGGAGCTATAAGAATTTTGCCCCAGGAGTTTAACACTTATATGCTGTGCTTATTATATTAACCTGCAATGGACGGGCTCACCATAGCCGTGCTACTTGGAACTTTTTGTTCCTAGTAGCGAATCTTAAAGAATAACAACAGGCTGCAATGTTAAATGGGATTCACGCTGGATTAGAAAAATTCACTCTTGGAATACTCTGAAGAATCATGCATCCTGATCACGCAAAGCTTCATGTTAATTTCGACTTTAATTCCATTTATCTGCCCCTGGAGAAAGTTGACTTTGGTTACGAATTTTCTACACTTTAGGTCAGTAACAGACAAAACAATGCTATAAACCAGGAATAGCTTCAAAATGTTCAAGAAAGGTGACGCAAATGTTTAGTGAAAACTTGCAAAGAGCTTCTTTCTCGTATTCATAATAAAAATTTAAAGTCAGTGCGCCTACTGTTAACCACTGACTGGTCCAACACTTGTGAGGGACAAATTCCAACATCTGGATCGTCATTTTGGACCAAGACAATACATCAAAAACGCTGCTGGCGATCCCATACTGATTCACCTCGCTGAGTTTGCATTGAAAATATAGCTTACCGATCAGTAATGCCCTGGTTGAATGCGTATTTTCGAGAGTAACATCTGTGAACACTAAAATTGAGAATTCGAATGGAACTTGAGCTTTCGACATAATTCTTGAGAATCAAACATATCTTGAAGAAAACGGAACTTGTTGCTCTCATAATTTGATCCACCTATAACAATGCTTAAACATGAGTCTACAATACACAAGAACGAATTTGTGGATGCAGACGAAGATCTTGATAATTTTCAATTGTGAAGACGTGGATGGAGTCCACACCCATTATGCTTCATACAACATATATTAATAAATTATCCTATTATCACATTTTTTTATCTGCAGAGATAACATTAATAAAATCATTAAAATCGTGTAGTGTACTCTATGTATTAAAATATATTACTTTAAATACCGTATCCTTGCTCGAAAAGCTATATGCGTATTAGTGGCTATTTAGGTATTGTATGTACTAGCTCTATCTATAAATCCAACATCATGTTTGTAATTCATCTTCTTTGTATGTACTTTTACCTGAATAAAAAATTGAATGTGAATTTGTATGAGTTACTAAACAACAAATTGGGCTACTAGAGACTCGCTACTTTTCGAGCGTGCGGCCGCTACTATGAGCAAGTGGGACCTGGCACCCGCGGCCGCTGCTCCAGCAGACATGTCCGCCGCCGTCGTCTACAACGTTGGGGCCAAGGCCGAGGAAAAACACCACAATGAGGAGGAAGACGTAGGCGACGTCGACGATTTAGTTGATGGATCAGCTCCAGAGGACGCCAAGAAGAAGAAGAAAAAGAAAAAGAAGAAGAAGGCAGGTAAGAAGAGAGTGTAGAGGCGAGGGGTGACGGGGTCCGCCTCGCCTGCCTCACCATGCTCACCATCCACCATACTATACCTCCCTCACCCTCACCTTCTCCTGCTGCCCTCACTACACGTCCCTCACTGCTCATCACCATCATCTCCCAGTAAAACTGTGCTCTTACTCGCATTTGAAGAGTAAGTGTAAGTCATGATGTGTGGCTACAACGGTCTCCCTACCTTTACATTTATTTTTGTATTTACTGTATGTATATATGTATGTGTATGTGTGTATATATATATATATATATATATATATATATATATATATATATATATATATATATATATATATATATATATATATATATATATATATATATATATATATATATATATATATAAAATTTTGTTTATATATGTTACATGTTATTGTATAGGAGCAGCCCATACAAGGCAGCTCCTATTTATATTAATGTATTTAGGAGCTGCCTCATATGGGCCAAATAGGTCTTCTGTAGTTCCTTTATTATTATGTTTAAATGATGATTGGTTGACCTAGTATACCTCATTACACTCATAAAAAGAGTTGAGAAAACCATATGAACATCATTGGTCTGTGTATCATGTAGAATTTTATTCAATAACGGTAACCACATTCACATAGTAATGTAACCATCAAACGGCAGCAGGATTTTTTCATGAGCCAAGGTAAACTCCATTACAGCCACATAGAGGGATTATATCCTTATTTGCATTATATATGTAAATCTCAAACAGTAATAGTTTTAAATTGTCATATCTGCTTGATACCTGCTTGATGGGGTTCTGGGAGTTCTTCTACTCCCCAAGTCTGGCCGAGGCCAGGCTTGACTTGAGAGAGCTTGGTCCACCAGGCTGTTGCTTGGAGCGGCCCACAGGCCCACATATCCACCACAGCCCGGTTGGTCCAGCACTTATTGAAGAAAACTATCTAGTTTTCTCTTGAAGATGTCCACTATGACTATAACCACATTACCCCGTGAATCACCATATGATGACAACCTCTCTTTAAGGGTTAAATAAAGATTTTTGTTCAATGAAATTAGGCTTTAGAACAATTTCTCAACTGGGGTTCTACAAGAGATAGTGATATAGGTTAATTCAAATCATATACATATACATTTTTGAGTCGTTTTTTTTTCATTGTCATTTAACCAGTATCTGGAGCAAAGATAGAAATCGTCGTCTTTTAGTTGACGATGAAATCCATGTGTGTGTCTAAAGTATGACTTGGAACAGTTTGATGGGTACAAAGGTTGAGAAAAGCTGCTGTGGAGAATGGGAAATAGTAAGATATGAATGGTAACTTTATAAGACACTAAACACATTTTTAAAGACTTTCCTAGACAAATTAAACATTTGGAGAAACGGGTACTGTATAGTAATGGTTATCTCATAAAAACTAAATAAGTGAAAAATAAATTGCATCATACAAATGCCTCATGAAGGCATCTCCAGTTATAATGAGTGTCTGGATACAACAAATCAAAGTTTGGCCACTTACAGTTCACCAAATTGAAGTTGTGCTCTATCGGTAACGCCTTTCAACTTGGAAACATCAGATTTGTATTTCCTAAGACACTCGGTTTGCATAAGTCTGGTGCATACATCTGAAAACCAAGTACAGTACAACAATTAAATATTCAGGGATGAAATTACAGTGGTACCTTCGTTTTCGTAGTTAATCCGTTCTCAGAGATGGTACGAAATCCGAAATGAATTTTCCCTTAAGAAATAATGTAAATTGAATTAATCCGTTCCACACCCCCAAAAATATTTACTAAAAAATAGATTTTATATGGAATAATACTCTTGGGTACCTTACCTTTACGGAGGACTCTTGTTGGTATATGGAAGACAGTGAGGATGGGGGGAGGAGGAGGAGGAGAGGTGTTAGTGTTTAGAAGGAGAGTCCCCTTCCATTATAACAGCAGTGATGACATTTGTGGGGTACTCACTCTTATATTTTGCAGGCATACCACTTGGACCTGGTTGTGGCTCACTGCTTGCTTGTCTTACTAAGAATCTATCTATAACACTCGTTTTTCCCAACGTTTTAACACTTGTCTGTAGTGAGACATCACATTGTCTCTATGAATGATCTCTTTTTCCTCTATCGTCATCCTCGCAACTATTTTCTTAGGTTGAACATTACCACTGACTTTCTTTGAACCCATGGCATGATATATAATGAGAACTTTTATGTTTAGAAACAAAAAAAAAGCACAAAAACAATGAAATTCTTCACAAAGAATCTAAGCGTGATCATCACTAGGCGGGAGACACTGGTAAATTGAAGCGCCACGCTCGCGGTGGACCCGTACGTGTATAAAACAAACTACGACCCCTGAGGCAAACTACAACAACCGAATCTAGAAATTTATTACAAAAACCGAAAACTATGAGAACAGGAGCCTACGAGAACCGAGGTTCCACTGTATTATGCTTCGGCCAGATCGGTAACATTACTTACATTTCATTCTTATGCTATGTGCAACTTTTGGTGGGGTATCAATTCATCTTATGTTACTCTTATTAACTGTCATATATGTATATATTACATATATTTGAAAAGAATACTGTATTGGTAAAAAATATTTGGATTCTTATTTCTCTAAATACACTTATTATATTGCTGGCTTTAATGTATACACCCTTTATATCCAGTTCTTCTCTTTTATTTCATATTTCTTTGTATATTTACATAAGCATCAAATGTTAATATTTACTGGATAATATTGTTTATAATGTCTACTCTGTTAAAGCTGGTGGTGTGAGCTCGGTAAACGTCCCAGATGGAGACGACGATCGGGCCGTCAACGGTGTGGCGGATAACATAGCCAAGATTAATATAGAGGTGGATGATGAAGAGGAGGTAATGAATAAAAGAAAAATTATATTCCTTTTTGTTAGTTTTAGTAGTTTCTGTAGCAGGGAGAAAAAGGTAACCATGGATTATGCTTACATTTAAACACTTGACAACAAATGTTTTACACATGTACTGATGTCAGGGATACTCTCAGTAGTCTTTGTTGCAACTACTGTAATATCAAGCAAAGTTTTGTGCAAGACCCAATTAAAGTACGATATTTTGTTTTTATGCCTTTAAAATGGTTGAAGATACAGTACAGTATTGTTAAAATAGCTCCCGCCACCTTGACCACTACAGAGCACCACTTGCTTTTCGAACCCCCTTGGGGACGAGACCCATCTGTTATCGTGTAAGTTAGTAAACGAGAAATGTAGGGGAAAAGTATGAAAAACTCTAAGGGAAAACATTGACAGGTTCATAGCATAAATGCAACAGTATTTTGTTTGTACAATAAGAGAAGTCCTGATTCGCTTATGTTGATGATCAATGTTGATAAAGCATACTTGTTTACATGGAAGCGGTGGTGGTGGATGTTGTTGGTGATGGGTTGACTGGGTCAACATGTGATGAGTCAGGTGCAGGTGAGGCAAAGCGAGCTTTCTTTGAAACCATTGCAAAAGACTTTAATTGACATTTGTTTCATTCCCTTTGATCTTGTTTTTAAAAACTTCATATACAAATTGTACAGACTCATCATGCCCTTAGTTGCAAACTTGCTGTAACTCGTGTCCATAAATGCCAGAATGGCTTCAAAATGTTGCTGAATTTTTTCCATATAACATTTTTCCTTTAACGTTTCTTCATACTCTTCCTCTCCATCTTCTTCATTGCACTCTTCTGGCTTTTGTGCTGCACATATTAATTCTATAATTTCATCATCAGTCATGTTTCGATTGTTAAGGGCTTCATTAAAATCTATCCACCTATCTATGTCATCTTCTATTGTTTCAGTCACCAGTTCTGCTCTCAGTTCAGGGGACTTAATCCTCTTGACATAGGCTAGGCATTTCTCTCTTAATTTTTTCCTCTCACTAACTTTCATCGCTGCAACTTGTTCAAAATCTGGCTCGTCATCTTCCTCAGGAAACAGACGTGATGTGGGTCAAATTTTTTTCCAACCATTTCTTAGTGTTGTCTGCTGTCCCATGCACTATCAGTCCAGATAGCTGACTTTACTGTGAAGACTTCATAAAAGTCCTTAATTGTTCCTAGCTGATTACAGGCATACCTCAGTTTAAGAGTTTAATTGGTTCCTGGAGACGCCTCGTATTCCGAAAACTCGCATTCCGAAGCTAATTTCCCCATAAGAAATAAAGGGAAATGAATTAATCCGTTCCTGACTACTCCAAAAACCCCACATCAAATTAAATTTTTATACCTAATTCATCTAAATAAACCTACAAAACTATGTTCAAGTTATTACTTACCTTGCTGTTGAATGCTGTAGGCGTATGGAAGATGGTGAGGAGGTGGGAGGAAGAGAGGAGTTACTGTTTGGAAGGGGAGTCCCCTTCCATTATCACATCAGGCAGTGAGGACTTCACTGGTATGCACACTCTGGCACATTTTGCCTGCATACCACCAAGACTTGCTTGTTTTACTAAGAATTTGTCTAATGACACTTGTTTTTCCCTACATTTTAACACTTGTCTGTAGTAAGACATCACATTATCATTTAAAAGGTCAATGCAACGGCCTGCTACAGCTTTATCTGGGTGAGTTTTTTCAACAAAACTTTGCAGTTCTTCCCATACTTCACACATTTTCTTAATCAAGAAGGGACATCCTCTACTGCCTCTACTCACAGCTATTTTCTTAGGTTGAACCTTACCAATGGCTTTCTTGAGACCCATGGCAAGATATATAATGACAACTTTTATGCTCAAATGGCCAAAAAACCGATAAAAAACTGTAAATCCTTGTGAAGAATTCAGGTGGGATAGTCACTGGACACGAGACACTGGTAAACTGAGGCGCGATCGCCATGCCACCACGCGCCAGTCGGCCTGTACACGTATCAACAAACTCGCCTTCCGAGACATATTTTTGGAGTAAATCCTGCTCGTCTTCCGAAAAACTCGCATTCCGAGGTACCACTGTATTAAGATGTCTAGCAAAAATCCTCTTGTAGTGATGTTTAAGGTTCTTAATTATTCCTTGATCCATGGGTTGGATCAGTGAAATTGTATTGGGTGGTAAGAACGTTCCAATAATATTGCCATTTACTAGCTCATCACCTCGTGGATGCGTTGAACTGTTATCTAGCAGCAGCACAACTTTGCTGTTTTGTGGGAGGCCAACACTTTTCAAGTGCTCCTGCACCTCAGGTAGGTACATAGTTCTTATTAAACCACTCGACAAATATTACTTGAGACATCCACGCACTTGGCTGGTCCTTATAAGTCACAGGAAGGCACCTAGGTGACTTTTTAAAGCCCTGGGATTTTTGCTAATTTCAGTCACAAGTAATTTTAATTTGTGCATGCCAGCTGCATTTGCACAGCACAACAAAGAAGTATGTTGACCAGACCACACACACTAGAAGGTGAAGGGACGACAACGTTTCGGTCCGTCCTGGACCAAATTATGTTGGTCTTCCTCCAAAATAATCTTTCCTGCCTCTACTCTACACAGACGCCGTCTTGTTGAATCGGCTCTAATACACAATGTACCCAACATGAACTTGAGTCCTGGCTTTGTTGCTGTGGACTCTTCCCTTTCACAGTATATACTTATATGCTCTAATCTTTCTAACAAACGTGACCTAACATAAGCTTACCCTTTCATTTATCTTTCTTTCTCTTTCCTTTTCTGTCTCTCTCTTCTCTCTTTTATTCTGTTCATTGTTTTCTCTTATGTTCCCTTACTATCCTCTTCTTATTCCTATTACTATCTCCTTCTCATTCGGTGGTTATAATAGGAGCTGCCTCATATGGGTCAATAGGCCCTCTGCAGTTCTTATTCCTACTACTATCCCCTCTACTACACCTTACTTTGCTCCTCACCTCTCTCTTGCCTATTTATTGCCTGCATCTACTTCATCACAATCGACTTGAGAATGGTCCAGGACGGACCGAAACGTCGTCGTCCCTTCACCTTCTAGTGTGTGGTCTGGTCAACAACAAAGAACTTCTCTGTTTGTTCTGTTCATAACCACCTGAAGGATCGTGTCCTCACCACTATGAGCCATCGTGTCTGGGTAGTATATGCCAGTACAAACCTGTCTCATCAGCATTATAAATTTGATCTGGAGATAAATTTTGTTCTTGCACCATCTCCGATAATTTACTTGCATATTCGTCAGCACCAACAGTGTCAGCAGATTCTTTCACCATGTACTTTAATGAACCTAATGCCATGGCGGGTTTTAAAGCTTCTGAGCCATCCATCACTGTATACACACTTCTGAGGAATTTTCATGGCTTGGTGAAATTCACGTGCCTTTTCCATGAGCAGCCAGCCTGCCACTGGCTTCATCACTCCGCGCCCCTGTTTGTATCACTCCCACGCTGCGTTATCAATACTCCACTTTTGCTCTACTTACTACCTTTCTATTTCATATTGCCTTACAACTTTCACTTTTAGAGAAAGTAAAAAATGATAGGTTTTGCCTTAAGATCATCAAAAACAGTACTTTTGCTTATGCCATATTCAGCGCACACGACATTTCTCGGGACACCGCTCTCCACCTTCTTAATTATTTCAACTTTCTTTTCAAATGTCATCACTGACCTCTTTCTGTTACGTAACCCGCTTGTTGATGCTTTCACTGAAACAATCCGTGCATTTGGAGCCAACATGGTGCACTGATGTTCCTTGATTGTGCTGATATATAAAACAAAGTCACGGAAGTCACTCCAATCTCATGACAAATCAAAACAATGGGAACAATAGGCTGTGAATCTGTGACATCACAGGATAGCAGGCACTAGAGTGGTGGCACCCGATACGGTCAGTGGGTAAACTAGACCATCTCCCACCCACTACCCTGGGCCGGCGCGACGCTTGGGGGGACCGCTTCCTCATTCGAACTTGGTTCGTGTAGGGTAACTCCAACCCCAGCCGGCGCGATGCTAGGCGGACCGCTTCCTACCCGAACTTTGTTCGTGTAGCGTGACTCCCCAACCCCAATTGGGAAACTGGAACTTTCGGATAACTAAAGTTCAGAAACCAAGCGGTGCTCTGTATATTGTAGTAGATACATAGCTTTTGTTTGTAACCATATTCAGATATTGTAACACTGCTTAGCAAAGATGAGTATTACTTGTAAAATCTGCAGGGTGAAGGTGGCGTTGAGGGAGAGGATGGAAGTAACAAGAAGAAAAAGAAGAACAAGAAAAAGAAGAAGGGAGGAGTGGGGATAATTGGAGGACCTTGTGTGCAGCAGACTGACCCACCATCAATCCCAGTGGCAGATCTTTACCCTGATGGTGAGTTGTAATGAACTTTGTAGTTTTTTTCTCAGATGTTTGGTTTAATGGCCCTTTGTTGACAAATGTCACCTACAACACGATGTGTGACACCCTCCACCTCTCAGAAAGTAATTTTCTCAACACAAAAACTTGAACTATAATAATAATAATAATTTTAAATAATAGAGTATATTTTTTTCTAATTTTAATAGCTATTTGGATGACAATTCATATTCTCCATTTTTGTTGGCCACCCTGTTTTAGACAATATTTGGAATGGGGAGTACTCAAACAATTGAATTAAAGTAAACCAAATATCTAAATGAGTCAGACATATAAGGAATTTATTCAGTGTCATGTTAGAGAAGAAATGGAATGTATTATAAAAATGTAGTAGTGGTGGCAAACTACTTATCACTAGTTGAATGTTGAAAGGCTGGACCAAAGAGCTGAAGCTCAATCCCAAGGATCACAATTGAGTATTCCTGCTCTAACCAACTATTCTTGCTCCACCTACTTCATTTCCCATTTTGTTCTGTCCCAGTTGAGGTGAAGGTGGTGATAATGGCTTTGTTTTGTTTTGGTTCATTTTGGTTTATTCATCTTGTTCATTTGATAGAAAATACTGGGTTCTTTTTTGTCAAAGCATTTTCTCTCACCGAGCTGTAACATGATTCTCGTTGAAAAATGTGCTTGTTTTTAATGACATTTACGTCTATTTTAGAATGTTTCTGCATTTCATTGGGTGATCATAAATGTTTTGTTATTCCTTTCTGATTGCTCATATTTACACACATCCATTCCATGCATAGTATTAGCAGGCTTTGAATTAATGTTTTATTTGTTTAACTTTATTACACACAGTTTTGGCTCTTGTGTTAGTAAAGTTTCACTGGGTTCCTTCAGTTACTCAGCTTTTACATTTTTTTATCTTTTGTCTACTGTTGTGTTTTCATTAAGCTGTTTACCTGTGTGTTCACTTACCTGAGAGTCAGTTATTTACCTTTTGTTTGTAACTTTGATACATTTAACCATTGAACTTGTTTGCAACTTTGATACACATGACCATCTGCAGAAAGAATGTTCTTCAGAATTTCTGGTGCCTTCAGGAAGGTGGAATTAGCCTTGTCGCAAATCCAGTCAAGTGGATGTTTGACAGTTTTGATTCTTAAATTATCTAGAATATTGAGATTTAATGCAGACTTGTGCAGAACATAATGGCAGTCAGTGTAGTTGGGGGGTATTCTGCCCTGATTGCATTTGATGCAAAGCTTGTGTAGTCACAATTTCTTTTTAATTTTAAACATTTTTGATATTTCTGGTGGTGTTATTTGTTATATAGTTGGGTGGGAATGTGATTTATAGGTGGTCTGGTTTTGGATCTGTGATGGGGCCTAATAGATATTGCTGCCTTGTGTAAGTTATGGGGTTATTTCCTTTTAATTATAGGTTGATGTAGCATTAAGAAGTGTGGTAGTCAAACCACTATAAAAACGTTAAAACCAAATGGGTTGAACACCTGGAGAGTAGTGACATCAGACAGACAGTATGGTGTTTGAACAGAAAGAATGTGAAACATAACTACTTAGTTATTATAAGAATCAGAGATTCTACAGGAAAGAGATGGTTGGGTTGCGTCTAACTGGACCTAAAAAAAAAAAAAACTTGACAGAGTCCCAGACAAGAGGTTGTTTTGGAAACTGGAATATGCTGGAGAGGTGATAGGGAGACTTCTGACATGGATGAAGAATTTTCTAACTGACAGAAAGATGAGGGTGGTAATCAGAGGCAATGTATCTGACTGGAGGAGTGTTACTGGTAGAGTACCACAGGGCTCAGTTCTTGCACCGCTAATGTTCATTGTTTACATAAATGATCTACCAGAAGAAACACAGAATTATATGAATATGTTTGCGAATGATGCTAAGATACTGGGGAATGTTATGGAATGTGTAACTGGAGTAAATATAAATAGACCACATACAACTTATAAACTATGTGGAAAGGAATTAAAACACACTAGTAAAGAATGAGGTCTAGGTGTGGTTTTGAATAGTAAATTGTGACCAGAGGAACACAAAGAACATTGTGTGAGGAGCCTATGAGTTGCTTTCCAGCTTCAGACTTGCTTTTAACACTTTGTCCCCCCCCCATCCCCCCATCCCCGACGTGTGCCCAAGCCAACCTCAAGTGGGGCTGGGTGTTTTGCATCAGCGTGTGGCCAGACTAAATGTGTATACTCTTCAGTTTTCACACCTCAATTTTCATGTTATGTCATTCATTTTGGTATCATAGTTTTCGCAATAGAATTCCCTACAGGGGTATATGCATATAAGGTCCAAAAGCCCCAAAGATGACCAAATGTTACCTGTGAGCAAGCACCCATTGGCACACTCGCAACACATGCACACAAATGTGTATACTCTTTCAGTTTTCTCGCCTCAATTTTTGTTGTACGTCGTTCATTTTGGTATCATTGTTCGCAATAGGATTCCCTACAGAGGTACTGTATGTGCATATAAGGTCAAAACGCCTGGCGTGCCACCTGCAGCAAACCCGAAAATCGGCCAAGCATTACCCATGAGCGAGCACCCATCTGCACACCACCAACACCCGCACTAAAATATGTTTTCTCATGTCAAGTTTCGTGTTGTCGTTTATTTTGGTATTGAAATGTTCACAGTCAAATTCTTTAAAGGAATATTGGCATATAAGGCTGGCATGCCACCCGCAACAAACTCAAAAATCACCCGAGTGTTATCCGTGAGCGTTGCCCATCAATTTTCGTGTTGCATCGTTCACTTGGTGTCAATTTGTTCACAATAGACTTTTTGAAAAGGATATATGTATATAAGATAAAAATAAACAGGCATATTACCCACAGCACACTAGGAAGTCCACCGAGTGTTAATCAGGAGTGAGCACCCATCTGCACACTGACTAGAAGAGGGAAGGAAGAGGTGGTGGTGGTGTAGCTCTGCTGGTAAGAATAGGCTGGGATTTTGAGGAGATGGTTATTCAAGGCTGTGAAGGTTTTAGTGAGTACATAACAGGGACAAAAAATTATAGTTGTAGACATATATAATCCACCACCAAATGACAGAAGGCCCAGACAGGAATATGATAGAAACAACATGGCCACCATTAACATAGAGAGAACAGCTTCTGTTGCTAGCAGGAATAGATCTGGACTACTAATTGTGGGAGACTTCAACCACGGGAAGATTGATTGGGAGAACAGAGACCCACATGGAGAGCTAAGCTGCTGGACGTGGCAAAAAGAAGCTTTCTAAACCAACACATCAAGGAAACAACAAAAATGAGAGGGGAAGATGCTTGATCTGATATTTACCCTAAATGAGTGGGATATAAGTGAAGTTAAGTTGGAAGCACCCTTGGGAATGAATGATCACAGTGTATTGATCTTTGAGTACCTGGTAGAGCTAGGATTTATCTCCTTAAAAAAAGGACTAGGAAACAAAAGGCTGGCATACCGAAAGGAGAATTATGAGATGAGAAGTTTCCTAAGGGAAATACCATGGAACACAGACCTCAGAGATAAGTCTGTACAGGGTATGATGGACTATGTTACCCAAAAGTGTCAGGAGGCAGTAAACCGGTTTATCCCGGCCCAAAGGAAAAATCCAAGAAGCAAAAGAAGAATCCATGGTTTAATAGGGCATGTATGGAAGCAAAGGAACTGAACAAAAGGGCATGGAGGAACTTCCGAAATAACAGAACACCAGAAAGCAGAGAGTGATACCAGAGAACCAGGAATGAGTATGTTAGTGTGAAAAGAAAAGCAGAGAAAAAATTATGAAAATGATATAGCAAACAAAGACAAGACTGAAACAAAGCTACTCCACAGTCACATTAGGAGGAAAACGATAGTGAAAGAACAGGTAATGAAACTTAGAACAGGAGAGGACAGGTATACAGAGAAGGAAAAAGAGGTGTATGAAGAACTCAACAAGAGGTTCCAGGAGGTCTTCACAATAGAACAAGGTGAGGTCACTGAGCTAGGAGAGGAGGAAGTAAACCAGGCGGCTTTGGAAGGGTTCAAAATTACGAGAGATGAGGTTAAGAGACACCTGTTGGATCTGGATGTGAGAAAGGCTATTGGTCCAGACAGGATCTCACCATGGGGTACTGAAAGAGTGTGCAGAGGCACTTTGTTTGCCATTCTCCATAGTGTATAGTAGGTCACTGGAGATGGGAGACCTACCAGAAATATGGAAGACGGCAAATGTGGTCCCAATATACAAAAAGGGTGACAGACAAGAGGCACTGAACTACAGGCCAGTGTCCTTAACTTATATACCATGCAAGGTGATGGAGAAGATCGTGAGAAAAAACCTAATAACACATCTGGAGAGAAGGGACTTCTTGACAAATCGCCAACATGGGTTCAGGGAGGGTAAATCTTGCCTTACTGGCTTAATAGAATTCTACGACCAGGTGACAAAGATTAAGCAAGAAAGAGAAGGCTGGGTGGACTGCATTTCCTTGGATTGTCGGAAAGAATTTGACACAGTACCCCATAAGAGGCTCGTACATAAGCTGGAGAGACAGGCAGGAGTAACTGGTAAGGTGCCCCAGTGGATAAGGGAGTACCTAAGCAATAGGAAGCAGAGAGTTAGTGAGGGGCGAGACCTCAGATTGGCGTGAAGTCACCAGTGGAGTCCCACAGGGCTCTGTACTCGGTCCTATCCTGTTTCTGATATACATAAATGATCTGGAGAGTATAGACGCATTTCTCTCAATGTTTGTTGATGATGCCAAAATTATGAGAAGGATTAAGACAGTGGAGGACTGCTTGAGGCTTTTAGAAGACCTAGACCAACTGAAGGAATGGTCGAACAAATGGTTGTTAAGAGTTTAACCCAAGGAAATGTAATGCAATGAAGATAGGTGTAGGGAGCAGGAGGCCAGATACAAGGTATCATTTGGGAGATGACATTTAAGAGTCAGAGAGAGAAAAAGACTTGGGGGTTGATATCATGCCAGACCTGTCCCCTGCAGCCCATATCAAGAGGATAACATCAGTGGCATATGCCAGGTTGGCCAACATAAGAACGGCATTTAGAAACTTGTGTAAGGAATCATTCAGAACTTTGTATACCACATATGTCAGGCTAATCCTGGAGTATGCAGCCCCAGCATAGCGTTCATATCTAGTCAAGGATAAGACTAAACTGGAAAAGGTTCAAAGGTTTGCCATCAGTCTAGTACCCGAGCTGAGAGGTATGAGCTACGAGGAGAGACTACGGGAATTAAACCTCACATCGCTGGAAGACAGAAGAGTTAGGGGGGACATGATCACCACATTCAAGATTCTCAAAGGAAATTGATAGGGTAGATAAAGACAGGCTATTTAACACAAGGTGCACACACACTAGGGGACACAGGTGGAAACTGAGTGCCAAAATGAGCCACAGAGATATTAGAAAACTTTTTTTAGTGTCAGAGTGGTTGACAAATGGAATACATTAGGAAGTGATGTGGTGGAGGCTGACTCCATACACAGTTTCAAGTGTAGATATGATAGAGCCCAGTAGGCTCAGGAACCTGTACACCAGATGATTGACAGTTGAGAGGCGGCATCAAAGAGCCAGAGCTCAACCCCCGCAAGCGCAAATAGGCGAGTACAATAAAATGTGTGTACTCTGTTCAGTTTTCTCGCCTCAATTTTCATGCTGCGTCGCTCATTTTGGTATCAAATGGATCGCAATCTAATGGTGTGCATTTTAAAACTAGTCCCATAATGATTGGAAAACAAATAGTTTTAACAAATATTTTTATTTTGAGCGTTGCGGCCGTCCCTTTCGCACGTCCTTGGAATTAATTGTGGATGTCGCAGACGTCCACGGGAGACAAAAATGGTACTTATTTTCATGGTGAAATACTAAAGAAACTGTTCTTGACTTTTGTGAGACCAAAATTGGAATATGCAGCAGTTGTATGGTGGCCAAATCTCAAGAAGCATAACAATAAACTGGAAAATGTGCAAGTGCTTGCTACAAAATGGCTTCCAGAACTGAAAAACAAGTTACGAGGAGAGGCTAGAGGCATTAGATATGCCAAAGTTCGAAAATAAAAGAAAAAGATATAATCACCACTTACAAAATAATAATAGGAATTGACCATATTGACAGGAATTCCTGAAACTAGCAACTTCAAGAACACAGGTTCAAGCTAAGGAAACAATGGTGCCAAAAAATATTAGGAAGTTACATTTTGCAAACAGAGTGGTAGATGGTTGAAACAAGCTAATTGAGAAGTTGGTGGAGGCCAAAACCGTCGGTAGTGTCAAAGCGTTATATGACAGAGTACTGGGAAGATGGACACCACGAGTGTAGCTCTCATCCTGTAACTACACTTGGGTAATTACAAATCATGTCCTCACACAGTCCTCTAGGGCCTCTATCCTCTCCATCTTGAGTGCCAACTGGCTAATGTTTTATACTTTTGTTATATTCTAGGTAATCCTCCAATCGGAGAAATTTGTGAATACAAGATTAAAAAGGATGATAGAACTGCTATCAATCGAATGACATCTCAGGAAAAGAAAGCTCTTGAAACTTCGTATGAAGACATGTATCGTGAAATTCGAATTGGTGCAGAAGTTCATCGCACAGTAAGTCATAATTTAGTTATTGAATTTGATTGTTCAGATTGAATTACTTGGTTTAGAAAGTAGGTACAGTATATGATATTTCCTATGAAATGCTAATAAAAATTAGATAAAAACATTATCATGCCTGTAATCCAACTGAAATTAAGTACCCCAATACCATGATCCTCTATCAAATTAAGTCTTGTGGGGCACAGCATCAAAGGCTTTGCTAATGTGAAGGTACACAGTATTGCACTCTGCTTCTGTTGACTGCCTCAAAATGCTGTAAAAGAATGAGATGCAACTTGTCAATGCGGCTCATAGTACGGTCATTAAGGGGGCGTCATTTCCAAATTTGTCCAAAATATGCAATAAATGAAAACTTATTTGATTTCAAACTTTTTTGACAAGTTGTAAATGAAAAGGGTGTCATCTGGTCCAAGTCTCTGCATCGTAACATAAATTGGAAGGAAGAAAAAATACTGAATTATATGTCAACAATTTTCCAAAATGTTCAAAAATGTTTATCAAACAAAAGTGTCAACTGAAATCATGTCTATGACTCAGCTATCACAATAGCATATATTAAAAACAAATTATAATTAGTTTTATTAAAAAAAAAATTTAGTTAAATTTTTTTTTTCTCTTTTGTTTATTGGGTGACTTGCGTGAAACTTATACACCTGACAGCACGTAAGCCTATCTGTAAGGGTGCCAATTTTGGAAGAAATTGGTTGATGTCAACCTCAAGTCACAGATGGCAGCACCTTAGACTTTATTTTGTACTTATTTATTTTCAAGTAACATAAACGTTCAAATATCTCTTTCATCTTTTATTCAATTTACATGAAACTTACACCTTATATGTAAAGTTTGTCTCTAAAATCTGAGAGAAGCATTTTTTCCTAAGTTCATTTATTGACTTTATAAATAGCAATAAACATGATATATTTGCATAATTTTGGGGGGAACTTTGACTATTTGTATTAGGAAAACTTAATACGTTTTGGAAAATCCCCTTCTACAGATCCTTTATTATATGCTAATGTGTCAGAAAAGTGTCATAGAATGATTATATCTGAAAGGTGTGGTTGTAAATATACACTTGAAAATGTGTAAAAAAATTTGAAAAAAAAATAAAAAAATAAAAAATCTCCCTTACTATTTAGGCTACAGTACTGAAACTTTGAACAATTGCAGCCCTTTTCATATACAACTAGTCAAAAAATATTGGTTGACATTGAACAACTTTCATTTTTCCAGAGGTAACGCCCCCTTAACCAATTATCTGTGACAACTTTGTGGTGCAGTTGTTAACAAATTATTAACATTATTTAAAAATGTAAAAATAGAAAAATGTCAAAATATTGTCAAATTTAAAAATGTTCATTTCAAATTGGTGAAAAAACATTAAATTATTGCTAAATTAAAAAAAAAATTGCACCATCTGTCAAGTGCCTGAAGGCACTATGTGCAGTGCAGTGGTTAAAGTAACTCTAGAATCCCATATAATTTTCATCAAATTTCTGTAGGGAAAAATGTCATTAAATGTAAGTGGTTTCATTCTGGATGAACCAACATGTCATATGATAAAAGCCATTGTCTAAGGGTTAATTATAGTGTGCACCAATCTATTATAGGTACTCACTTGTAATGAATATTTAAGATTTGAGGTATGGACTTACATTGTATGGTGTCAATACTTTTATATTTGAACTGTTAATGATTTAATTTTTTCTCTTGGACAGACTCGCAAATATTTTCAAAAGATTGTTAAGCCAGGGATGACCATGATTGAAATTTGCAACATTATTGAAAACACCAATCGTAAACTGATCAAGGAGAATGGTCTTGAAGCGGGGCTGGCATTTCCCACAGGCTGCTCAATCAATCACTGTGCTGCTCATTATACTCCCAATGCCGGAGACACGACAGTTCTTTCATATGATGATGTTTGCAAGATTGACTACGGAGTTCACATTAATGGTGAGTACAGTAATAGTATTTATAGAAACATTAGTCTCATTGTTTCAGCAGCTCATTAAATCTTGCAATTTTTTATATCTTAGTAGTAGCTTCAATTCTGTATGGTTTATATCATAAAGTTCAATGAAATACTGCACTATACTTTTTTTTCTTAGGGATTTGGTTTTATGAGTAATCGAGATAAAAAAAACTGGTGTGTGGACTGATAATTGGCATCTGATATATTGAGTAATAATGAACAATTCATGTCTTGATTTTTTTAACAGAATAAGTTTTCAGGTTGGTTTATCTGATACAGAAAACTTGTGAATTTGCAGGCCGGGTGATTGATTGTGCATTTACACTTACTTTTGATAACAAGTATGACAAGTTAGTGGAGGCCGTCCGTGCTGCTACCAACACTGGCATTCGGGAAGCTGGCATTGATGCCCGTCTTTGTGATATTGGGGAAGCTATTCAAGAAACTATGGAAAGTTATGAAGTTGAGTTAGCTGGCAAAACATACCAAGTAAAATGCATTCGTAACTTGAATGGACACTCAATCGCTCCATATAGTAAGTATTACCAGTAGTTAGAGGTGTGGATGTTCTGGCCTGCTTGTTATGTTTTCTTTCCTCTGGGCGATATTTAATATGTGGGATGCCGATGTACAAATTTGATTTTACCCGTGTTAGATTGTTACTCCTGAAAGAGTACCTGAAACCTTTGACAAAATATTTCATATGCCAGTGTGACTTATTACAGTGAAACAGTTGTCACTTGCTTACTCTGGAAAACAACAATGCATGAAAGAACATAAATGTGATGGTACAAGTGAAGATAAAATGCAGAAAGGCACAATACTGTAAATGGAAAAAAACATTATTGGGTGGTATGAATGTGAAGCAATTATGCTGACTATCTAATGTTGGCCTGCAGAGTGAATTAAGTCATCTTGGGTACAATAGTGTATTTTAAAACTTTCACATGCGTCTATCATTAAATACATGTGTGCAAAGAAACATTGTTTCATACATCATGCTAGGAGCCTATGTTATACTTTCTAACTTCAGAATTGCTTTTAAATACATGCATGGCAAAATACTAAAGAAATTGTTCACGACTTTTGTTAGACCAAAGCTGGAATATGCAGCTGTTGTATGGTGGCCATTTCTTGCACATCAACAAACTGGAAAAGATGCAAAGACATTCAACTAAATGGCTCCCAGAACTGGAGGACAAGAGCTACGAGGAGAGGTTAGAGGTATTAAATATGTCAAACTAGAAGATAAAAGAAAAAGAGGCGATATGATCACTTCGTCCAAAATAGAAACGGGAATCGATAAAATGGATAGGGAAGAATTCCTGAGACCTGGAACTTCAAGAGGTCCTAGATTTAACACATGAGGTCACAGATTTAAACTAACTAAACAAAGCTGCCAAAGACATATAAGAAAATTCACTTTTGCAAACAGAGTTGTAAACGGATGGAACAAGTTAGGTGAGAAGGTGGTGGAGGCCAAAACCGTCAGTACTTTCAAAACATTATATGACAAAAAGAGTGCTGGGAAGACGGGACACCACAAGCATAGCTCTTCATCTTGTAACTACACTTAGGTAATTACATAACCTGTCCAGTGCACTAAAATTTAATATTTAACATATTTCTTCTTTAGAAATGCTACTAAATTACAATAACAGTAATTTAGATACTGTGTTTTGAGGTTATCTTCAGATGATTTCGGGGCTTAGCATACCCGCGGCCCGGTCCTCGACCAGGCCTCCTTTTTGTTACACCCCACCAAGCAGCAGCCCGTAGCAGCTGTCTAACTCCCAGATATCTATTTACTGCTAGGTGAACAGGGGCATCAGGGTGAAAGAAACACTGCCCATTTGTTTCTGCCTCCACCGGGGCTCGAACCCTGAACCTCAGGACTACGAATCCCGAGTGCTATCCACTCAGCTGTCAGGGCCCCTATAATTGACAAAATTTAATATATTGACATATATCTGTATTGAAAAATTTTAATATAACTTTTAACGAGTTATCCATTATCATCTTAATGCAGAATCAATTTCCCTCAACACGATATAAATGAGGGATGCGTTCTAGAACCACCAAAGATCAACATAGAAAGCCCAAATCTTGGGACAAATAGTATGAGAAACACTGCATTTTATTTACCTTGAGTTATGACGTTGTGGTGCATATGAGTTGTTCCCTATTAAGGCATCCAGAGGTATAATTATTAAAAGAACGTGATAAAGCTTTGATGCACGAACACTGATGTTCAATCAACAAAGTTTCTCTTCTTCTTAATTATTATCAAGGGAATTTGATAAATAGCTGAAATAGTGCATTAGTTACATTGTTCATATTGTGGGGACGTGGGAATATTTTGTTAACACTTTCGCGCTTTCCGCAAAGGTCACTCAGCCAACCGAATGTGCGCGCAGCGTTTTTATCGCTTAAGCATAAAAACAAAAATGTGTATACTCTTTTTACTCTTCTGACCTTAGTTCTCATGCTACGTATTTCATTTTGGTACCAACGTGTTCGCAATAAAATTCTCTAGAAGAACATCAGTAAAAAAAGTCACGAAACGTATAGGGATACCAGCACCAAATAAATAACTACGAAGATGACTCGCCGTGAGCGCCCATCAGCAACAAAATGTTTTTACTCTTGGGATTGTAATCACCTCCACACTTATTCTACAGCGTTAATTTTGGTATCAATGGACTCGCAATGAAATTCCCAACACGGTGATATGAATATAAGCGTAGAATAATGATGCGGCCCGCCCGCAAGAGTGTGGGAAGTGGTGAAATTGTTACCCGGTATCGGTGTCGGGACGACGCACGGCGCTTTGAAAGTTTATACTTATTTCACTCTCATGACATTAATTTTCTATGTACGTCATTCATTTTTGTGTCAATGTGTTCGCAATAGAATGTTCTATGTGCCCATAGGTAAAAAATATCAACAAAGCGTAAGTTAGAATAGCGCCAAATATAAAACAACGCTGGATCATATCAGTGAGCGTCAAACACACACGAAATGTTTTTACTTTTGTTATGTTTGTCAAGTTTATACTTGTTGCACACAGTTATTTTTGGTTGTATATTGATCGGAATAAAATTCCCTAAACAGACATATGCATATAATACATGATATGGGGGAAGCATTACCAGTATAAACGGCTAAAGTCACCCACCTGCAACCCGTTTGGGACAAAATACCATTTGATCGAAGTTATCCACACCTTTCATGAACTTATTGTACCATGCAGCCTAGTGGTGAGAAAGAGAGCCTCATAGCGCGCAGTTTGAAACAAACCCAAAGTAAATCGGATAAAAATTGAATTTTATACAAATATTTTAAAAGAGGACTCAACTTTATGTCCACTATGCGTTAGCGTTAGACGAAACGGGACGCGCCGGCGCGTCCAGATAGCGCGAAAGTGTTAAGTAAAAAGAAGAGGCTGAAATCGGGACTTGGGAGGCTGTTCAAAAGATCAGATGTTCGGAAATCTGGGACCCTGTATTTCATTCTAACATGTGATTTACAGCAGGCAGGTTACAAATGGTTAAATCTGCCTTCAGTAGATAATTGGAGTCCAAATGAGCCATTGAAAACAAATTTTCTTTGGTATAAATACTATGTAAACCATTCTGGATAATTTGTTAAAACAAATTTATTTTTGTCTATTTCAATCCATCTGTGCTTATTATCTGTGGTTATTATGTATTAATAGTAATTAAATACAGTAGTTGTGATTTGTAACATTAGAAGATTCCTTTAATATGCATTATTCAAAAATAAGCAGATGGCGAGTCACAATAACATGGCTGAATACACGATGAGAAAATCACACGTCAGAAAATAAAGAAATTACGATGTTTCAGTCTGTCCTGAACCAATATCAAGTCGTGTAATAGAGAAATAGTGGGAGAAACAAATATACAAGATAAGAATAAGATAAAAGGAAAAAATAAGAAAAATCTGGTAAATTAAAGGAAAGGTACACAGCCAGGAAAAAAGGAAGAATAGGAAAGGTATAAATAAGAAAAAGTTGAAAGTTATTCTTACCATTCTTCTTGTTCTTACCCCTTTCTTCGTACTCTTACCCCTATCTTCGTACTCTTACCCACTACCGTTCTCTTACTCCTAACCTTTCATGTCGCTTTCTTACTTATTTAATTATGTCTCCCATTCTCTACAAAATTAACTTAATAATGATAGTGTGTGTACATGCACTGCCAGTAGCGCAAAGTTGACGTTTGAGCATGTCGGTATGAATGGCCATAACTAGCATTTATAGCAAGGACAAAAAAATAGCAAGCAAGAAAAGATGTAAATTTGTAATGCATTTTAATAGATTCATTCTTGCATCAAGAAAGTATGAATTGGCCTGGCTCGATACCAGACCGCCGGGACGTTGATCCTCGGATCCATCACAAAGTAGAAATCCAGACTGGTGTGCAATCTGCTCACGTTGGCATTTGAACTCTCAACCAAACTGCCTGAACAAACCCTGAATAGGTGACTTCTCTAATTGTGGGATGTGCATGGCACAGAGGGACATGAGACACCTTCTGTTATTGGCATTAATTTAACAATATATTATTTGGTGTTTATTTAAAAGTGTGAATGCTCAAAGATACCTCTCTGATCTGAGCTGTTGACACAAATTTGCGGCAAGGCAAGTGAAGGAGTGATGATCGCTTTAGAGGATTTATACGTTAGCCGTTTCACTTTAATTTAGTGCACACAGTATTACATGTAAATCTGTTCCTGACACAGCTCAAAGGAATTGTCATGCAACCCACTTTTTGCTGCTATTTTGTCTGATAATATCTAGAAGTAGATTAAAACACAAGAGAAATGCCAAATTGTGATTTGAAGATAATTACCTTGCTAGTGGTACAAGATAATTTCATCTATATTAGGCATTTAAAAAAAAAAATTTCATTGTGTGTATGTATGTATGTATGTGTGTGTGTGTATATGTACTCACCTAGTTGTGTTTGCGGGGGTTGAGCTCTGGCTCTTTGGTCCCGCCTCTCAATCGTCAATCAACAGGTGTACAGATTCCTGAGCCTATTGGGCTCTATCATATCTACACTTGAAACTGTGTGTGTGTGTGTATAATAATTATTTATATATATAATAGTATAAAAACTGGGTGATGACTAAAATCAACATATAACAGCGTTCCCTGAGATCACTGTACATTGATAACTGTACTTTAAAGGTGTAAGCTGCTGCATACAGTACTGTCAAGCTTTTAACACAACTTTAATTTTGTCAGGAATACATGCTGGGAAGACGGTGCCCATTGTAAAGGGAGGTGAAGCCGAGATTATGGAAGAGAATGAAGTTTATGCCATAGAAACATTTGGCTCTACTGGTCGTGGTTATGTTCATGATGACATGGAAACCTCTCATTACATGAAAAACTTTGATGTTGGACATGTTCCTCTTCGGTAGGCTGATACTTTTATTTATTTATTATATACTGTGTGTGTGTGTATGTATGTATGTATGTATGTATGTGTGTGTGTGTGTGTATATATATGTATGTATGTGTGTGTGTATATATATATGTATGTATGTATGTATAATATTATATATATATATACATACATACAATGTCTACTTTGAGCTTATAAAATACACAGACGACTACAAATTATTATACTAAGTAGTAATTGAATATTGCTTGGTGTTTATAGTAACCCTTCTTGAAGGAAGGTGTAAATTAGAGGTACAGTACCTATATTAGAAGTTGGTTGTCATATTTGTACATGTGTTAACATGGTGACTTATAAAGCATGGCTTGAGACATGCTTCATCCCACTCCAGCACCAGGTCATAACAACTATAACCATCTAACCTTGGTCTGAGTGTGTATAATGTCCAATATAGTAACCTAAAGAGGGATTACAGGAAAAATGCATAGAAAATGACAAACATTTTGTTAACTTACAAAATTATTTAGCAGTACTGTGGCAAGTCATATCTGTACTTTAAATAAAAAGTACATATCAGCACAGTGCACGTGAACAGTCTGGTTGACAGATTTTATTTTGATTTTCCAAGATTGACGAAGTCTAAACACCTGCTAAATGTGATCAACCAAAACTTCGGCACACTGGCCTTCTGCCGTCGTTGGTTGGACCGCTTGGGAGAAAGCAAGTACCTGATGGCCCTCAAAGATCTCTGTGATAAGGTATGTTAATTTGTTACTAAATTTGCATATTGGGTCCTTAGAAGGGATTCCCTTTAATTGGAATATTTATTTGTATGTTGGCTTCAGAGATATCCTGAAAACTATTTAATATATCTTTGCTAATTTTTTTACACACGTCCAGATGGCAGGAAATGCTCCCAGAAGTCTCAGGTGCTACTATAGGAAATTTGGTCAAAGACCATTTTATTAGTATTATTGTTTTTATTTTTGTATGTGAAGGATGTTTTAAGATACTAGTACAGTTGTGTGATTTGAATTTAATATATACATGTATTTGAACCATGTTATATACACTGGTACCTACACTTACAAATTTAATCCGTTCCCAGAGAAGGGTCGTAACTCGAAACAAATTTTCCCATAGGAAATAATGTGAATTGATTTATTCTGTTCCAGACCCCTAAAAATATTAACTTTAAAACATTTTATACCAAATACCACTCTTTTTGTACTAGTTACAATACAATATGTATGTCCTACCTTTATTGAAGACTTGTTGGCATATTGAAGATGGTGAGAAGGTGGGGAGGAGGACAGGTGTTATTGTTTGGGAGTCACCTTCCATTATAAAATCAGGCAGTGACACCTTCTCTGTGGTACTCTCTCTCTCTCTCCCCATGTTTTGCAGGCATACCACTAGGACCTGGTTGTGGCTCACTGCTTGCTTGTCTTACTAAGAATCTGTCTAAAGATGCTTGTTTTTCCCTACATTTTAACACTTTGTCTGTAGTGAGACATCACATTGTCATTTAAAAGGTCAATGCAACAGCCTGCTACAGCTTTATCTGGGGGGGGAGCCCCTTCGGCTACCTGGAGCTATATGGCTATACTGTATTAGATTTTGGCATCAATGTGAATGGTCTAGGCCTATTGGGGACCACAAGCCAAAATCTGGGCCCCCTCAGAGAGGCACGAGGCACAATGGCCTAATGAAATGCACAAGTGGGTATAGAGCATTCTATGCCATGGACCGGGTCAGGCACCCAGAAAGGTAAGCACCCGAAAACAAACCCCTATTCTGGTTGAAACTATTACCGAGAGTCAAACGAGTGGACAGAACACCAGATGAAAATGAGCAAACGAGCATGACGTCACCCCGTTGCCGCACCACTTGTCTATGCAAACCCCACCCTCCCCGGGAGGGGGAAGGGGGAGCCCCAGACCCTCGCGCCGGTGATCCACTGCAGTTCTTGTGCTGATGTGATAGGCAACGGTCGTGTGACTGGCTGCTGAATTCTGTCCTCCAGCTCTGTGCCTTGTGTTTTCGGGTTTTCGGTGTTTAGCGGTTCTCTGGTGGTGCACGAACCAGGAATAATTTCACAAGTACTTGGGCTGCATGCGCCTAGGGTCACCTTCCGTGGGTGCCCTGTAAGTACTGCCCTTGGGGCTTGGGGCCACCTTCCACAAATCACCTTGGGATCTACATCTGCTTGGTCTTTTGCTGCTCGGTGATCGACCGCCCTTAGTGTGCTGGGGTGTTTTCTACACCCTTGTTTACCTTTGGGAAGGGGTAGTTTGCACTGGTAGGGGCACAGGGATGCTGCACAGCTAGTTATCACCTCTCATAGTGGCCGGCTCTGTTCCGCCTGGGTACATTGTCCTCTTGCAGGGTTTTTCTTTTTTGTTTCCTGCTTGGTGGGGGGTCTGCCCCTTGTTGGGTTGTTACCATTGTTTATTGGTGGTACCTCCACTAGGTCCCGTGAGTGGACACGTCCCGGGGGCAGCTTTTAGTGGATCTCTTGGTAGACTTTGGCACCGATTACCAGTACCCTGCCTGGGATTCCTTTTGTGATGCCAGTCTGAGGGCCCTGGAATCCCCGCAGGGTCGCGTGGGTCCGATGGATGCGACCCCTGGGTCCCCATCTCACCTTGTGCGTTTTTGAGGGTTGCTCGGTCCCCTTGTCTCAGGGTGACACTCACCGTTTTTGCCTCCGTCATGTTTCCTGTTGGGTTGGCGACACCTTCGACCAAGAGTCCTGCGAGTTTTGTTGCTCGTTTGTGACTCGGTTCACCCAGTCCGCTGATGACTCTTTTGCGGGTGCAGGCAGCTCGGGCATTGAATGCTTGGTTTAGGTTGCTGCAACAGGCTAGGTTGGTTGCTGTACCAGAAGCCCCGAGGCTGCCTCGTTTTGATTATAGGGACCCGGACTTGGGGGTGGTAGTTACCTCAACTGGTTCAGTCTGCGCCCCCTCGTCCTTTTCCTGCTGTGGTTCATTCTGACCCCTCCCCCCTTTCCCTGCTTCCGACTCCAAAGCATCTGAGGGCTTCGGGTCGGAGCAGGGTTTAGCTGGTTTTGAGAGACTAGCAGTTTCGAGGGATGCCCCTTCTGGGGTGGCAACGGAGGCGGCATTCGAGTCGGTTCCTCTTGCCGTGGTGTCTAGGTCTGACCAGTAGGCCCTTTCCTTCCTGCCTTTCCCATTGCTCCGGCTTTTTCTTTTGGGGCCGGGGCATTGGAGGATAACTTGGCCCTGGGTCCTGATGTGGAGGTTCCTGGGGCTGGGGAGAGGTTGATTTGGGGTGTTTTCGGCCCCGCTGGACCCCACTTGGGTTTTTCTACCCTCAGAGCGGGGCTTGCTGTTACAAGGAGTGGGGTTCAATTTCTTTCCCTCTGCGTACGAGTTGGATTTGGTGTCGTCCCCTCCCCAGGTTTGGTTCAATGTCCCTTCGGGTCCGTCAGTCTCGTCCTTATGGAGGTTTTCGACTTCCCGCCTCAGGTGCGGGAGGCCATTGCAGCTTCCCTCCTGCTCAACCCGGATTATGCCTCTATTTATTTATTTATTTATTTATTTATGCATATACAAGAAGGTATATTGGGATTGTGAGGATACATAATATGGTAATTACAATCTTGTAAAGCCACTAGTACGCGCAGCGTTTCGGGCAGGTCCTTAATCTAAGAAAATTTTAAGTAGGTAAATACTTGCAAAATTTATGAAAAATGATAAGTTACAAGGCAAGAAAAAAAAAAAAGATGAGAGAAAATTGTAGGTATATTAAAGCACATAGGTAGCTCAGATTGATTGCAATGACAGCTTGAATGGTAGTTGACAAAAATTGGTAGGCACAATACAGCATTTGGCTAGCACATAAAAGAATCATGAGTCCCTCTTCATTCAGGTTTGGGTCTTTGTGCGTCTAAGGGGTTCATTGTGAGATTCCGGAATCGTCCTGGCTAGTGGACTGCCCTGTGTTTTCGTTGGAGGCTTGGGATGCGTTCTGTTGTTCCCACACGCTTGAATGGCGCTAAGAGCAGATGGTTATCCAGGTTTACCTGGGAGGGGGGGGCGGCGAGTTTGAGCACCTCCATGCTTGCTTGTTCGCCCCTGCCCTTCCTCAGGATGTTGGCAGGGTGCAGGTTCCTTCTCTTTCGGCTGCACTGGTTACTGGGGAGTTGTGCGCTTGTGGCCTGTGACCTCCGGTCTTGCGTTTTTTTTCCCCTTCTGGAGCTGTCCTCAGATTGGCTTGCGGAGGATGTGGAGGCACTTTTGACTGTTTCTGGGTCTGGTGCCTTGGTCTTCGCAGCACGTGCATTGTCTGCTCTGATGCAGCTGTTTGCGCCAATCCAATGGGATGCGGTGTCTCTGGTTTTTTGCTTCGCGTCTCGCGTGTTGGCAGGTGGTGCTCACTTCCTCCTTGGAATCTGCTTGGGCCCCTGGCTCTTTGGTTTCCTTGCCTTTTTTGTCCCTTGCTGTTTGCAGTTTCTGCGGTCAGGTAGTATCTGCAGGCAGCTACTTCTAGTACCGTCCGATGTCAGACTTGTTGATTCTTGGGGGGGTCCTGGGGGTTCTTCCTGGAGGGGTCATGTTGGGGCTTGGGGTTCCTCTCGTCGTGGTAGGCCGGCAGTGCCAGTTCGGGGCCGGCACCGTCTTCAGACCCATCTTCATCTGGTCCGTGCAGTGCTCGCTCTGCGCGTCAATCTGGTTATTGCAAGGGAAGTTGGCCCTTACGCAGTTCACCCTGTTGACGGGCATTAGGTGGAGGGAAGGCTCGCTCTGTTTGCTCATGCCTGGTCTCACGTTTTGTGGGCTTTTTGGGTCATTTCCATCAGCCTGCGGTGGCGTTAGGTGGCTCCTCCCCCTTTGTGGGGTTCGGAGCAGGCCTCTTCTCCAGCGCTGTGTTAAGGGTCATCTTGGAGTGGGTACGCTTGGGAATGGTCAAAATGTCTCTGTCCTTCAGGTGGGATTCCCGCCGGTTCCCAATCCTGAAATGCGACCGTGTGGACCCGTGGTTCATCCACATTTGTCGCGTCTGAACCCTTTGGTCTATTGCCCCTCCTTTCGGATGACTCCTCTGTCCCAGGTCTGGTATCTTTTGGAACCGGGCGCTTGTGCGTCCCGATTCATCCGGGGTTCAGGGACTGGCTCGGTTTTGTTGTGGGGCGTCTTGGTTACTGCTTTCGTTGCCTTCCATTCGGTTGAACCTGGCACCTTGTGTGTTCACATGCCTTACCCAGGTCGTGGTGGCCTGTCTGCACCTGTTAGGTTGTTGGGTCCTGGCCTGCCTCAACGACTGGTTGGTGTGGGCTTGCAGCCAGTCATCATGTCTGCTCGCCAGAGGTTTGGTTCTTTCCCAGCTCGCCGAGATCGGTTCCCTGTGAACTGGCGGAAGTCCCATCTGGTTCCCTCTCAGGTTCGGTCTTGTGTGGTACTCTCGGACCACTTCCTTGTCTCTCCCTCCGGTTCTATGCTTCGGCTGCGGTCCCGCCTTCGCTTGTTTTTGGGGGGCTCCCAAGTCACCCGTAGGATACTCGAGGGTTGTGCGGGTGCCTGAACTTTACCATGTTGTTTTACTTGCTGGGTCGGGTTTGGCTTGTTGGCTGTTCTGGTTCCTTTGGGGTTTTCCCTTCCGCCTCTCTCGTGTTTGCTGGGTTTGGCCTTTGGAAGCCTTGCGTCGGTTGCTGTGTCACCAGCTACCTATTTGGGGTTCAGTGCCTTGGCACGCCTGCTCAAGCCCTTGCTCGATGTGTTCACAGTTGCGGCTGGGGCCTTGTGACCAGTGCTCAACAGGCCGGCCAGGGGTGGTGAGGTCCGTCCTTTCGTCAAACCCACAGCATGGTGCGGGATTTTGTGGCAGTGTGGACGACGCTCACGGATACGTTCACCAGAACCCCTCATGGTCGACGATGTATAATGAAAATCACTTTTGATAGTAGGTCCCTTCCATCTTCCATAATTCTCGCTGGTGCTAGATGCTCTATTCAGGAGTACATCCCCTCCCCTCTCCTCACCTCTGCAACAGGTGCTGCAGATTTGGGCATGGTCCCTTCAAGTGCACAAGTGAGGTGTGTGCGCCCCTTGTGTGGAGACTCGGGTCATTCTAAGATAGTGCTCTTCTTCCTAAGCTCAATGCATCAATTGCGATGATGCCCAGTACAAATTTGAGGACGCCATCCGCAATTTTAAACATTGCGATTGTCTATCGTGATGTTTTTCCCCATATATGTTTCATTATTTACTGAATATTTGTAACCATACTTGGGAGTTTTCATCAGTCCCTGAGGACTGGCTTGAGGCAGTTGTTCTTTTTATTCAGATACAAGGTTCTCTAAGGACATCCCATAAAGACTTCCGCCCCATTGCTCTAACGAATTGCGTCTGCAAACTTTTTGAACATATGTTATCTTGAGATGATTTCGGGGCTTTTAGTGTCCCCGCGGCCTGGTCCTCGACCAGGCCTCCACCCCCAGGAAGCAGCCTGTGACAGCTGACTAACACCCAGGTACTTATTTTACTGCTAGGTAACAGGGGCATAGGGTGAAAGAAACTCTGCCCATTGTTTTTCGCCGGCGCCTGGGATCGAACCCAGGACCACAGGACCACAAGTCCCGCGTGCTGTCCGCTCGGCTGACCGGTATGGTCAGTGTCTGGCTGATGTTGTTCTTGGAATGCTATCACTACCTCTCCCCTTCTCAATTTGGCTTTCACAGATATCACGGCATGACTGATGTCTTAGTGAACTTGGAGGTCTATATTCGTACTGCCTTTTCTGCGAAGACCTCTGTTGTTGCTGTCCTTTTTAACCTGGAAAAGGCCTATGACATCACCTGGAGATACCATATTCTGTCCAAATTGTTTTTTTTGTCATTCATAGTAATCTCTCTCTTCCTCCAAAGCTTCTTATCTAGTCGTTCCTTTAGAGTGAGGCATGGTACCGCTCTGCCTCTTCAGCAATACAAAGGTGTACCCCAAAGTAGTGTTCTGAGCACTGCTCTTTTTCCTGGTTGCCCTCAATGGTCCTCTTTCCTCCCTTCCCTCTGGCATTTTCTCAGCGCTCTATGTTGACGATCTTACCCTCTGCTGTGAAGGTGATGACTCCTTTCCTTCAATGGTGGCTTCAACTTGCAATTGATGCCGTGTTGTCCTTAGTCTTAGTCGTGTCGTGTCCATACTTCCTGGGGGTGCTGATAGATGCACACTCCTCTCTTTACATTTCTCTCTTGTGCCATCTAAACTCGAATATGGCTGTCAAGCTTACTCGTCTGCCAGTCCCTCTACTCTTTGTTGTCTTGATGCTCTTCACCATTCTGGGTTATGCCTCAGTTCTGGTGCCTCTTGTTTGACTCCTACCCTGAGAATATAGTGGATGTGTGGACTGCAGGCCACTCCAAGGAACAGCCTGTTGGCCCAACCAGAAATGTTATCTTAAACCACATGAATCTACTTTATTACACAAATATGCAATGTTTAGAAAAATTACATATAATTACATAATATTTATATGTTCACTATTGTTGTTCCATATAATATTTGTCATATACATAGGGTTTGCACTACAATGTTGCCACACCCCATAGCTATTTTTAGACATATTCCACCAATAATTTTATTAGTTTTAATATTTTTATCCCTGATGCCTCCTTAACTCTTGTTACATTATGTATTAAATTATTTGCCTATGGTGTTATATGTTGTTGTTTCATGTCCCCTACCAGGGGCTTCCTTGTGCCCAATTACAATTAAGGTGTGGTGTTGAGAGCATGTAGGAAATATGCTGCTGCATTGGAAGAAGTGGATTGGGTTGGGGGGGAGGGAAGGAGGTATTATTAGAAGTTATCGTCTAAAGGTAAGAAGGTATGGAAGTGCTACAAAAAAAATTATCATGTAGCTAATGGTATCAGATATGAAAGAAACTAGTCATGGCTTTAAGTGGCATCTATATTAACCAATATTCATATAGCATACTTTTTTAGCACATGGTAAGCCTCTATTTAAATTGGTTGTGTTAGGTAACAATATACACAATGGTCCATCTGAAATTAAATAGGTTTTCTTATTGTGTACATATTTCCAAGGTGCAGTTGCAGGAAACTGTAAGGCGAGGGAAACAGACAACACACTAATGTATGGGTTTTGTTTCAGGGGATTGTGGACCCATACCCTCCACTCTGTGATGTGAAGGGCTGCTACACTGCACAGTTTGAGCACACTATTGTTCTACGACCCACCTGCAAAGAGGTGGTGACTCGTGGTGATGATTATTAATACGCTCATTCTTCATTACTCTTACCACAATCATTAGATGAGTGAAAAGTGGACCCCAGAACTCTGTCATGGAAAAAATATTACGAAGAATATTTTAAGAAATTTTAATGCCACTTATTATTTGTAGTAGTTTATAGCCTCCAATAGATAACTTGCTTGTTAGAGTTCTGGCCTCCAGAGAGATGATGAATGATGGCTATTTTATCTGCTGCTGCTGTGGGCAATGCTCAAGTAATTCTTAAATTTTTCATTTTACATTTGTCTTTGTAGGTAAGTGGCGTCTCGGGCATAATACTTAGACAAGATGCTATCATAACTAATTCTCTACATTACAGTATTACTTATGGGTTTATTTGAATATCTAATCATTATTTCAATAATGGACAAATATTTTTTAATAAAACCCAACAAATTGTTTGCTGTAACTTGAATCAAATATTACATAAAGTTGTACAGTATATACATAAAACTTCTTAAGACAGTATTTTAACCACATAATGTGTGCTTTATTCATAATCAATTTAAGGCAAATGTATAGGTTTATATTAATATGTATTGTAATTGCGGTTGGTAAAAACTTGGGTTGTTTCTTAAAATCCAACCACCTAGGTTAGAGTAAGTTGGGTTAATTAACATTAATCTTTATTAATCTATCTAATCAATAGATAATAAAAATGCAAGTTATTTATCATTTGTAAGGAATCATTTGCACTTTTTTTTGTAAAGTTTGAATGTTCACATTATGTGTGCCTCGAGTAAATGTCTCATAGTCATTGTGCACATTGCTACTGTGTTGCATAAGAGAAATGAAATGCAGAGTTTTGCTTCTTTCTTTCCTGGGAGGTAAGGCCACAAATTTTCTAAAGTGTTGGGAATATAAATGCTATTCCTAAAAAATCATTGTAAGCTGCCTATTATTTAATTATCCTACACCAGAAACATAGACTAATGATTATATAGCCCACCTGGTGGGTGATATTAGAATAAATGAAGAAAAAATCACTGGAGATGGAGGTAACCTTCACCCCTAAAATAATCAAAAGACACCAAGCTGAAGAGACTATGCAGGACCATCAGTATCTCTGCATATTTAAAAGCTGTTAAATATCACTGAGGATATCGATATGAGAAAAGCACATGGGAGAGCTATACAGTGGGGCCTTGATTTACGATGATAATCCATTCCCAGAGACGCATCGTAAGTCGAAGCGATTTTTCCCGTAAGAAATAAAGGAAATTTATTTAATCAATTCGCCACCCTCCAAAATATTAACTTACAAATACATTTTATACTGAATACAATTTTTTTCTCTAACTATGTGGGAACCGACCTGTGAGATTTATATTTATTTAATTTATATGAATTTATATTTACGTTAATTTATATACTTCGATAGCAATTTGTATAATGATAAGTGGACTGTATTTCTGCAATAATCTCATAATCTCACAAATCGATCCTCTACACATTAGGGGGGGTTTATATTACACATATGCAGCCAATCAAATTACAGTAATAGCTACATACATTGATGAGGTTCCTTCTCTTATAGTACAGCAGGCTAGTCCACCAGGTATAACTAGAGTGTAGACACCAAATTATCCTCTTTGAGGTAGCTTCTATCACCCAGTAACTGGTGCACATAATCTTGCATCCTCGTCTTGACCTGTCAAAAGTGCGCTAGCAATGAAGCCAGAATCCTATATATGACAAGTATATCAGAGAAAACAGTACATGGAACATGAGGACCTGGCTTAATTACCTTTAGTTTGAGGCTTCCATGTGATCTAACCGGATAACCCTACCCAATGACATTAATGGCCACTAATGATAGATAATGGGTTTCGGATAGACACTTAACTTGAATTTGTAGACAGCGTGTTGACAATGGTACACTTCTGGTTTCCATAACACTACGTCCAAGTAAATTTAACAGGAGCCGAATTTGCTCCCGTGTGAGCCTCTGGTCTCATATAACAATGGCTGCCCTCCTTCCCCACTCTCACGCCTGGCCTACTTTGTCCAGATTTCAGAAAGTGATAGAAGGGTCACATTTACTCTACTTTAATATTGATAATTAAGTTAATTTATATAAGATGTTTTATGATGGTAAAGTCCAAAGACTAATGTATTTAAGAATAATTCCCAGCAGAATAGCTGGTGAATTATAATAGTATGTGGTGATGATATCCCGTTTTCTTTAGACGGTAATTCCACTACAAGTTACGTTTTCTATGGGTAACTTGTTGGTAATACAGCTATTATCTGTATGATTATTAAATGGTGTCGGATTTTCCGACATAATTCCCCAGGGGGCTGCTCACGGGTCGAAGTCCTCTTTAGAACAGACGAACACCGATACTCCTCCATCGAATTATTACATTAATTTGATGTTAGTAGTTAGTAATCACACATTTGTGCGTCTGTTCGTACAGGACGGATGTCCCGTACTAGAGTTGCAGGGTTTAGAAGTCTAATGCGATTTCATTTCCCTGTCAACTCTTGAAAGGCTAATATTCAAGCCTTATTACACATTATTTAACCCAGAAGACTGGATGTGAACAAGTACTACAGTCAAGTATGATTCAGGGACTGCAGTGAGATCAGTGACATTAGATATAACTTGAAGTTTCTTCAGGTAACTGGTCACTGATATATAAACACTGAGGCCCATGGAATACATCTTGATTAAATAATAAATGTATCAAATCAGTCATCAGATTTATTGGGGTTTAATTTAGTTAATTGATTCAGAAGATTGAATAGCTCATCATTAAAGTAAAGTATGGTTCTGAGACTGCAGTGGGTTCAGTGACATTGGTCGCAGTGACTTGTAGCTGTTTTAGGCTACTGTTCACTGATTTGCCACTGAAGCCTCATGAACTCATCTTCAGCTTTATATGATGATACTAACATCAACCTCTGTTGGTATAGTCAGCTGTAATCTCCTTAGTATAATGCTACTGGAGAAATATAATCAGCTGACAAATTTAGATTTCTATTGGTATTGTTTATCTGCAGGCATAGGTCTCCTCAGGCTTGATACTGGGCCTGAGAGTAATTTACCTCCTGCAGAGTTTAACATGGTTATACCCTGATATTTAGTAGGGCTACCGATGAATCGATGGCAATAGTCTGTCCCAACAAGGAGACCGAAGTCAGTGAGGTGATCAGACTTAATATTATCTGCCAATTTTATTCCTCTATTTCTCAGGAATTTGGCTGTTGCTCTCAGACCTTGAACTTGTAGGTCTACTGGTATTTTGTCCACCACAATGGCTTGTACTCGACAGACGTACCTGCCTAAGCGTACTGATGGTTGTACCACCTGGTAGACTTGAGGTCCTGCATCTGTTACAAACCCTGAGATGTTGAATGACATCTGGGCTACAGGCCTTAATTGTAATTCATCTGCCAACTTTTTGGTGATATATGTTCTCTGGGATCCTTGGTCAAACAACCCACGGGTATGGACCTTGGCCCTCTTATTCAGGATGGTAATTTGGGCAGTAGGCAAAGTCGTATTACCTTTAGACTTTGCCGATTGGACACTCTTTGTTTGTTGCACCTTGCAGTACTGTACTGTGGTGGGAATGCTATCTTCCACCTTGGGTCTTGAATACGTTAATTTCGTATATTTGCACAGTGCTGCATGGTGCCTACCTCTTCTACACCTGTTACAGGTGTTGAATTGGGTATCACAATAGTCTATGTTGTGTGACTTGAGACACCTCGAACATCTCCCTAATTCCTGGAGTCGCTCAATACGAGTGTCTCTGGTTGGATAATTAGCACAACGGTATGTTGAATGTTTCTTTTTGCAGAACATACATGTCCCCCAGCCTACTGCACGTTTGGAAGTTACCGGTTTGGGTGAACTAGTAACAGTAGGCTTGGAGGATGCTGCTGCATTGTCAGATTTTCTGCAACTTGATGTTTGAGTAATTGGTTGATGTTTATTTGGGGTGGTTGTTTTACCCTTTAATTGACTATTATTTTCTATTTCTGAAGGCTTGCAAGAGGCTTTAACTTCCTCATTTGCTCGTCGTTTGCTTATGATGGAATGTAAACCTTCAGTGATGTCCTGTACTGTCAGGATGGTGTTATGTTGATGTGCATATAATTCATCTAGTATATCGCTGGACAATTTTCGTTGAAGGACTACTTTGGTCATCCATTCACTAGTAGTTATATCAACCTTAAGTCTGAATGTTCTTAGTAGTGACTCAAACTCCATGCTGAAGGATTGTAATGAGTCAGCAGTCTGATCAGGTTGAGGTAAATCCAGCAATTGTAGTACTAGATGTATGACAGTTTTCTCATTGCCAGCATTATTCCTAGGAGGCTGGACTGGGAAATTAGTGCTGTCGCTATTTTCATTTACATTTTCTACTACTGGTTCAGCTTCACCTCTAGTTTGGAGGCATGTTAACTTAGTAGCTTCAGGTATTGGGTTTTCAGAAACCACAGAGACTGTGGATAAATTGTCTGAAAACTGCTTAATTTCTGGTGGTATATTATTGGGTGAAGCTGTAGTGGGTGAAGCTTTACTGGGTGAAGCTTTATCCTTGTTGATTAAAGGATCTAATCTGGCTTTACATTTATTCTCAAAAAGATCCAGATCATCCATAACATTATCTACTTTATTTGATGTACTTGCTATTTGTTCTGATTCAATTATCCTGTGTAAATGTTCCAACCTGCCTTGAGTTTCTTCTTCATATTGTGCTAGGTCAGACAGGAATGGTTCCACATCTTCAACTACTACATCATCGTGGACTTGATTTTGGTAAGATTTCCTATTTGCTTTCAATATATGCAATTGGGTTTGAATCTGTAACAGTGGTATTTTCAACCGATGATAATTAATTACAGGCTCATATAACAACTGTTCATATTGGTTGAGATCTCTTGTTAGTTGGCGTTTGCTTGATATTAAAGCACGCTTTGCTTTCTGTGGATTAGTCATGGTGACTTGTTAATTGAGCACCACTGGCTCATAAATTGTGAGCAAGTACTAATGGTAGCCTAGGGTAAATTCTGCACTCACTAGGCAATAATCCTACCTCTACTAGAGGTTAGCACTTAAAATTAATACACATTATATATATATACAATCATACACACTAATGATTTGAGTGATAAACCAGTGTCACTGGAAGTACCTTTAGGTTAGCTCTTCTATATCACCCTAGGATGGAAGAGACACTAATTAATCACTCAAAGGTGTAATGATCATAAGTAATTTATTATATATACAACTCAACTCGAGTTGATAAAAATTACACCCAAAATAGGGTCTGGACCATTCATTAATGGTGTTAGGTTGTTCAATATAGTACAACTGACTATTGTAATAATGGGACTAGGATGAACAATAATAGTTCAACTAGTCATATCCTACCCTGTTGTGGGTTGGCAATTAGTAAATATTATACTATGATCACTAGTGCAATATATATTAAATAATTCTCTATTTTGGAGAAATAATATACACAATTATTGATAATAGCCTCTTAATTAGCCTCTATGAAACTTCTAATATTATCTAGAAGTATTAAATATTATTAGTGACCTCGCGAAATAAAGTCCACAAAATTCGTAGATAATCTCTCGCGAAATGTAACACCACGAAATCCGTGAACAATCTTGCGACAGTCACTAATTGGCTGGCTTCTATATTAGCGCTGTCATTTCACGAAATAACACGCCACCAAATATCTGTGGGTGTGCATGAAACCGCTGACGAAGCTGAACTGGGCTGAGGGAGACTCCTGAGCTCCCACGAGGCAACGCCGCTGTCTATGACTGGCTGGCTTTGTTTAAATAACACTGCACTAGTATTTAATGAATCCACTGGTTAACTGGTTCATCCGGTACTAAGATGACCAAATGTGGGTTCAAAGGAT